ATAATAATAATAATAATAATAATAATAATAATAATAATAATAATAATAAATATAAAATAATAATAATAATAATAATAATAATACCAGGGACCAAACTCAGAACAAATTACAAAATTAGGGACCAAAATTATGAGAAAGCAATCGTAAAGACCATTTTTATAATTTATTTTACAAGTGAAACCAACAGTATCTTGTAAAAAGGACCAAATCAAAACAAAATCAAATACTTCAATGACTGAAATAGAATAAAAGAAATTATGGTACAAATTAGGAAATGGCCAAATAGTTTTATGGAGTATTTCAACTTTTTCCCCAGAATAAAATTGGGACAACTTTATCTACAGATTTGGAGAAATGTCATGTATGCATTAATGCATATGGTTCGGAACATATTCAACACAATGTTGAATGTCCCTTATCCATTAGTTTGGTGGGAGATGGGTCAGAGTAGACCTGATAAATAATCTTTGTATACATGTTTGTATACTTGTCAAACATTAATTAACATAACAAAAATTATAAAATGTGTCTTGAGCATCAAATACGAACACGACATGTTACAAATTCATGTGATACGTGAAATGACACAGATATACATGTTTTTAATTGTGTTACATGAAAACACGAAAAAAAAATTACACGAATTCCCACATTTCACTTGAAAGACATGAATTTGTATATATGTGTTTATACATATCATGTGTCAACATGAATTTGTTTGTATGTGTTTGTACATGTCACATGCCAACATGAAGAAACACAAATTTTCATGAATATATGTGTTTATATGTATCACGTGACGATATGATTTTGTTTCGTATTTTAGACATGTTTAAACAGGTAAATTTGTGTTTAACACATATAAGACAGGAAACACGAATTCAAAACACATGTCAACACCAATAAACGTGAAACACGAATTTCTAAAACAGCTATATAAAAAATATGTTTCGTGTTGATGTCATATATCAAATTTTCTAGGTCTATATGCCACAAATCTTGCATTAAATATACTCCCAATTCCCAAATATGCTAAGGCGTACTCTGAATTTTCCTCCAACCCCAACTCATATTGCATCGAATTGGGTCATCCTAGAATTGTTTTTTTATCATGCATCCTATAATCACAATTAATAAGAGTTACGAAAAAATAGAATCACAAGGTATTACCATGAGTTCTAAAAAGATCCCATCTTATAGTTTTCTTTAGATATTTCATCAAAAACAATCACCAAAACATTCAAAAAAAAACTAAACACATAATCTACCATTTCAAATGATACCAAACCAAATTCAATCACATCAATAAATTATCATCATTAACAATAATCACAAATAGGCAACTTCACCTCCAACTTTACCCAACAACAAATCATCAAAAACCAAACCAAAAACCTTGATATTCATTCAAAAAACCAAAAAACAAAAACATCAAACACATTTCTTAGAATCCAGCAGTAGTTTCTACAGATTGATTCAAAGAACACAACCACGATCTTCTCCCTTCTGAATTCGATCTCCTAAAACTCGATCTTGTATATGATCGAACCAATGAAGGGCTAGTATCTGATCCACCCATGCAAAGACTAGAACTCAGTTTCATTGATGGAAACTTTTGGCAGCTGAAAGACCGAAGTGGTGAAGGAAACTCGGGTTTACATAGTGGAGTTGTATCAAGTGCCATGTCATCATTGTCTTCTGTTAATGAAGTGCATGTGAAAAATGATAGTGGTAAGCTTGTTCGTGGCATCCCAAGGAGTGGTTTGGTGGCCGGAAGTTTTTTGAATGATACGATTCCTTGGCGGCAGAGTGGGCACGGGATGGACCCTGGCGGCCTTTGGGTGGTGGTGGTGGTGGTGGCGGCGGTGATTGTGGAACAAAGATATAATGCACATCGTGTGCAGAATTCGTGACAACAACCTGTGTTTATGAAATTTTTTGGAATTTTTAGTCTTTGTATATGACGTGGCGCAAGTTTTTGCTGATGTGGACATGTGGTATTTGTAAATTTGAAATATTCTTAATCTTTATATATGACGTGGCTTATTTTTTTGCTGATGTGGACATGTGGCATTTGTAAATTTAAGAAATTTGAAATTCTTATGATGTGGCTCGATTTTTGTTAATGTTTACATGTGGCATTTGGATTTTATGAAATTTTGAAATTTTTAAGCTTTATATACGACGTGGCGCAAAGTTTTTGCTGATGTGGACATGTGGCATTTGTATTTATGAAATTTTGAAATTCTTAACTTTACATTTGACGTGGCTCGATTTTTTGCTGATGTGGATTTGTATTTATGAAATTTTGAAATTCTTAATCTTTATGTATGATGTGGTGCAAGTTTTTGCTGATGTGGACACGTGGCATTTGTAAAATTATTGAAATAATATAGTTGTGTTGTGTCATTGCCACATCATTAGTAAGTGCATCAACAATAGGAAAGCTTTTTAGTGGAAGTTGTTCGTTAAAAAGCCTTAAATAAAAAAAAAGCTCATTAATATCTTTTATGAATTCTTTATATAAGTTGTCAATTTATAATTGGTTTGAAAAAATATGGGACCCACACAGTAACTGAAAAAGCTCATGTGAAAGAGCTTGTTAATTAACAAGCAACATGAAAATGAAAAAGCTCCGCTTATAGCTTTTTCAAAATTGGGTTAATGACATAAAAGCCCTTAAATTTGTCAGAAATGTTCAATTTTACCCTTTTGCATATTTTTGTTTCGTTAAAGCCAGAAGTTTGCAACTTTTTTTTAAAATTTTACCCTTTTGTGTATTTCTAGTTCAATAAAGCCCTTAAGTTTTGCATAAATGTTCGGTTTTTGCCCTTTTTTGTACTTCATTAAAGCCTTCAAGTCAGACAGAAATGTTCGGTTTTAATGAAACAAAAATACAAAAAAGGATAAAAACCAAACATTTCTACCAAACTTAAGGGCATTTACGTCATTATCCCTTTCCAATTTTCAAGACCTTTTTATGTTAAAAAGCTAAAAACAAAAATTACCTTCTGAAGCAACTGCACATTTGTTTTCCAAACAAACAGCACAAGGATCCGCACACGTGGAAATGGAATCGTGACTCCATCCACACTCTCTATAAAAAGAAGAAGAATCAAGATTCAAGATCCATGAAATTAGGTCAAGGGTTTGACTTTTTAAATTCAACAAGACTTTTAAAAAAAAATTAAAAAAAAAAAAAAAAAGGAATTAGTTTAACCTTGCAATCTTGACAACACTCATAAGAGGAAGACACAAGTATGGAGAATGAGGAATCGGTTGATGTTGTTGTGGTTGTTCGGTCAACACTTCCTCTAGCCAGTCTCTATGCCATGATTGAGCAACAGCTAAAGGTGTCCATCTAAAAAAAGTCAAAATATTTATTTATTTATTTATTTAAAAAAAAAAAAAAGAAACATAACAAAAACTTATCGAAAACAATGGAAATTGGTACATAAGAAAGATTAAATCCAAGAAATGAAACGTACTTTCGTGTATTTTTTTACACCTTTGTACAGAAGAAAAATTAACTAGGAAAAATTTTGGGTTAATCTCATAAAAGACCTTATATTTTGGGGTTTTTTTTTCTGAAAAAGACCTTGTATTTTTTTCATTTTTTCCGAACAAACCTTCAAATTTTGTCCTTTTTTTCCGAAAAGGATTAATCTAAAAAAAAACTTATATTTTGTGTTTTTTTTTTCCGGATTAGACCTCAAATTTATTTTTTGTCTGAAAAAAACCTTGTATTTTTTCATTTTTCCTGATTTGGCCCTTTTAGTCATTTTTTGCCAAAACAATTTGTAAAAAATGTGAGGGTTTTTTCGAGAAAAACTAAAAAAGTTGTGGGTTTGTTTGGAAGCATTTAGAAGGTTGAAGGTTTTTTTCAGAAAAAAATACAAAGTTGAAGGCATTTTCGGAAAAAATAAAAAAATACAATGTCTTTTTCAGGCAAAAAATAAATTTGAGGTTTAATCCAGAAAAAACACAAAATATAAGGTTTTTTTTAGATTAACCCTTCCGAAAAAAAAAACCTTCACTTTTTTAGTTTTTCCGAAAAAACACTCACATTTTACAAGTTTTTTTCGAAAAAAAAAAACAACTAAAAGGGCCAGATCGGAAAAAATATAAAAATACAAGGCCTTTTTTAGAAAAAAAAAATTAAGTTGAAGTTTAATCCGAAAAAAACACAAAATATAAGGTCTTTATGAGATTAACACTGAATTTTTCAAAGTACAATGTCTTCAAAAGGAAAAAAAAATCAAAATACAAAACCTTAACTAGAAAAATAAAAATAAAAATAAAAAATACATACCCTTTCGCATTTTCAGCAGCTAAAGAAGCTCCCTTAGCTATCAGAATCTAAAAACACATATCAATTAATCAGTCAAAGATATTGCATCATCAATAAAATCACATTAAAAAAAATAATAATAATAAAAATAAATAAATAAAATTACTTGACAACATTGTGCATTTCCACCACAAGCAGCATAATGAAGGGGTGTGCTTCCTGCACCTGAGAAACAACTTTTCATCAATTTTAAATACATAAAATAGCAACGTACTTTCATTTCATCCTATTACTTTCATAAAAGACCTTGTATTTTTTCATTTTTACCGAAAAACCCCTCAACTTTGTCTTTTTTTTTTCTGACAAAAACCTTCAACCTTCTAACTGTTTCCGAAAAAACCCTCTGACTCTTTTATTTTTCTCCGAAAAAACCCTCAACTTTGTCTTTTTTTTCTGAAAAAAATCCTTCAACCTTCTAACTGTTTCCGAAAATACCCTCAACTTTTTTATTTTATTCCGAAAAAGCCTCATGTTTAAAAGTTTTTTCGGGAAAAAAATGACTAAAAGGGCCAGATTGAAAAAAACGAAAAAATGCAAGGTGTTTTTCAGGAAAAAAATAAAGTTGAGATTTAATTCGTCAAAAACACAAAATATAACGTCTTTTATGAGATTGACCCTGAATACTAGATCTTGCAAATTATAATGTCATAACAAAAAAAAGGTTAATCTCAAAAAAGACCTTATATTTTGTGTTTTTTGCGGATTAAACCTTAACTTTATTTTTTCCCTGAAAAAACCTTGTATTTTTTAAATTTTTTCCAAAAAAGCCCTCAACTTTGTTCTTTTTTCCGAAAAAAAAAGCCTTAAACTTCTAAATGCTTCCAAATAAACCCTCAACTTTTTTAGTTTTTCTCGAAAAAAATCTCACATTTTACAATTTTTTTTTGGAAAAAACACAAAATATAACGTCTTTTTTAAGATTAACCCAAAATATAACGTCTTCCAAATACAATTTTTTTTGGAAAAAACAAAACTAGAATGTTATATTTAACAAAGGTATTGCTATTTCTTTCATCTAATTATATTCCAACATAAAAAAAAAATTACCAATCAAATCAATTGTAGTTCCATCTTCAACAGTGACTTCATTAACAGAAGCCCCTAAATCAATGAGCAATTGTAAACTATCAACATGTCCATTTAATGCTGCCATATGAAGAGCAGTTACACCTCCATCAGCAGCTCTATTAATCGTCTTATAAACCGATCTATTTATCAACAAATCCAAAAATTCAAATCCCATAAACAAAAAAACAAAAAGTCATAAAGATTTCTTATAAAACATACCCTTCATCCAATTCTGACACAAACTCTTCCATTCTTGATTTTCTATTCACAATTTCAAGAAAATTGGAAACACTTGGGATATAATCAGCATGAAGAATTCGAATACATCTTGAATGTCCATTTAGAGCAGCTAAGTGGAGTGCAGTTCCTCCATTTAGATAATCGGCTTTGTGGATCTGAATTTAATCATTTAATTTGTTACCTTGAAAATTGAAATATGTTTTTTAGGAAATATTAAACATAAATGTGTTACTTGAATACATACATTTGCTTTGTAAAGAATCAGAGTTAAAACAACCTCCCAATGACCATATTGACAAGCTTGCATCAAAGCAGTCTGTTCAACAACAAACACATGATATAATCTTGATATTATTATATATATTAAATTATTAATATGATCTTTGTAGAGATGATTAATAGATTAATCCTAACCTGTCCACGATAGTTCCTGAGATTGATATCAACTCCAGATTCGATCAAGAGAGAAACAATCTAAAGCCAAAAAGAAAGGGAAATTTTTATCGATATCCGTAATTGAATGTATAGATTTTTACGAGATTAAAGAAAATAGAAAGAAATTGATACCTCATGGTGGCCTTGAGCTGCAGAGTAATGGAGGGGGGAATTCCGAACACCAAAAGTGGAATATCGAGCAAGTCTAGGGTTATATTCAAGCAAAGCTTTGGCTTCTTGAACATCGCCATCTCTTGCAGCGGAAACAAGGCGTTCTCCAGATGCAGAGCACCCAAAGGAATTCCCCATAAGGTTAAAGAACCTCATCGATTGTTCTTAACGGAAATTACTACAGCTCCAGAAGGAATCGATGAAAAAAGAAACTCGATGTGTTCTTCATTATTTTGTAGAACAGCTAATGTGATTTAATATGAGTTCTTGAAAGAATGCGATGTTGAATAATGGAAATGGCATGATCAGGGGGCGTTTGTGTGTTTTTTGATGAGATTTGGGCAAGTTTCTGTTGAATTTCCGAGCTAAAAGACGAATAATTGATTTCAAATATACGTGGTATGATCAAACAGTTGTCGATCAGAATCTTTACCGACTTTTGGTGTTGTTGAAGGAAACGATCGCACCGAAAATCTATGAAGATTAGTTACAGAAATGGAATATATACGGATTGGATTGAGTATGGTAGTGAGTGCATCTACCTAAAATCCGAATTTTCGTCGAATATCGAAACTAATGAACAAATTTACAAAACCCCGATTGGCAAGTTATCCAAAGTTGAAAAGATTCCAACCCAAAATCCCAAATTTCTTAAGAATACCCAATTGTATGAAGAATTTGACACAGAACCCTCTTCTGGATTGCCCTGAAATGGAAATAACTCGATCCTCGGGTCAGGATTTTCCGTAAAACTCAGATGTTTTGGAGAAAAAAGAGAACAAAGATTGAAATGTGTATTTGGAGATGGGATTACCGAATTTTGCGGAAAATATATAAAGATTAGCGAGGGATTTTATCGAAGATCACGAAATCAAACAAATATTGCAGGTGCTAGGATGTGGCGATCATAATGAAAGAGGTCATGGATTTGAGAAATTGGGATCAAAATAACAGAAAGACGGTGGTGACCCACCAGAGGTTCGATGGGACGATTGAGGTGCTTTCATAATTAATACTCCTAACCTAATTTATCACTACTGGTAATTTCATTGATTGTTGAATCAAATTGTCGGTTGTAGTAATCAATAAACTGTAAATGTCAAAGAAAAAAAAAAGTTACATTGAAAAACTTTTAGAAATATTTTAGTTTTTGGTCGATTTTTTTTTTTTACGGTTATTCTTGTGATTTTATTTTATTTTTTATGTTAATCCCTAATAGACATAAAATAATTAATTATTTTTGTCATATTTTTTAAACTTGTTTTAGTTATTATTTAGCCAAGACTAAACCGCACAAATAATGTCCGTGATTTGCTGAAAATTATCACTTTGGTCGAAAAATGTTTGGACTAGCACCACAAGTCCAAAGTTTTCATTTTGTTGCGAGTTTGGTCCGTACTTTAAACTTTTTTATAATGACGATTTTACCTTTTTTTTTGTTTTTTCAATTTTTTATTTATTTAAATATTTTTATGATTAAAAAAATATCTCTCTCTCTCTCTCTCACACACACACACACAAAACCCCAAAGAACACTGAATCAGTGGAACACCACCATCACCTTCAATTGCATCGATGAAATCTATAGCCCATCATCTCCCATGTTTTCCCTCCACACATACCTTTTGTCTCCGGTAGTATCTCCCATAAAACCCTCTGGTTTAAAAAATATATTCAAGAAATCTGGATTTTGTTTTTTTTTTTTGCCAAAATTATCAAGAAATCGACCATGGTGGAATGAACCCACGTAAATTGGGTTTTTGTTCAACAAAACCAAATTAGCAAACCCAAAAGCAAAACTGTTCGACTCCATCTATGTCACCTTTGTGTTTTATCAGCAAAACCAAATTAAGGGGTGAAGAGGTCGGAAGTTTCATTTTCATGAATAATGACGCCACGATCTTCCTCAACAAACCCTAGATCTGCCTCCTTCCTTACGGATCCGCAATACCCACCTAGATCTGCTTCCCTCCTTACAAATCTGCAACCATGTCCTCATCCTGTCGTCGGAATCGAAGGAGAGAAACGAAGGAGACATCCAAATCTTCACTGATGTACGTTGTCGTCGTGGAGTTCTGAATCTCCGGTGATGACGGCGTTTTCTGATGATAGCAAAGATTTAGGGGAAGTAGATGAAGCTTGTTCTTCCATTGATGGGGATACCAAAATGCGTCAACCAACAGTTGGGATCATAGATTTGGAGGTGCTCATGGAGTGTGTGTTCATGAGTAATCATTTATAGTTTGTTTTTTTTTCGAAATAAAAAATCTTGTTTGGGGTTTATTCGAAATATGGGTTCATTGTGGAGTTCATATGCGTGTGTTGAAGAACAAATACATAATTTTGGAGTGTGTGTTTGTTTCAGAACAAACGAAAAATGCCCATGTTTTGTTTGAATGATTTCTTGAAGGGTTTCACCTACAAAACTTTTATGATTTTATGACATTTGCTACTTCTTTTTTCCATTGTATTATTAACACGAAGTAATTACAAATCCAAGAGAGAAAAAAAACGGAACAAAATTTTTGAACTTCTTTGTTGTCCTTGAGAGAGAGAGAGAGAGAGATTTTATTTTTTAATCATACAAATATTAAATAAATAAATAAACTGAAAAAACAAAACCAAGGGTGAAATCGTCATTACAAAAAAGTTTAAAGTATATCGAACCAAACTCGCAACAAAATGAAAACTTTGGACTTGTGGTGCTAGTTCAAACCTTTTTGGACCAAAGTGACAATTTTCAGCAAACCACATTGACCATTTGTGCAGTTTAGTCTTAATTTTATCAATGTATAATTCGTACTGATAAAACCATTGAGTAATATTGTTTAATAATATATTAATTAAAATTCTAACTATATAATTTTAACTTGAGTAACATGTGA